GGGGGAGTCGGGATCGAAGGAGGGAGTGGGGGCGGGGCAGGAAGAAGGTGGGGAAAGCTGGAGCGGGGTCGGGATCGGAGGAGAGGGTTTGGTGGGGGGGAAGATCGCGTGGGAGGTGGGAGATTGTGGCACGCGGAGGAAGAAGCGCACGAAGGGGAACTGGCGTGTGGGTGGATGGGGGGGGGGGAAGATAGCGCGGGGGTTGGGGATGTTCCCCTGGGAAATCGAACATCTATGTATTGCTGCCAAAAAATTCTCTTTCCTGTTGCCGCTTGGGCCTGTCCTGCTAGAATCGCCCTCTAGCCATTCACCTTTTCTCCCTTGCTTTCTGCTCTTCTGTCTTTCTCAGTGGAGTGCTCGGCAAATCATTGGCCTTCAGTGCTTTCCTCTCCCTCTCTGTTGCACACATTTTTTGAAGGCTGGCATCCCCTACTGTTGAAACTTCCAATAGAGACCATGAGTATATCACACTCCTCGTCCACCTCCTTCAGGCTTTCTCCCCTCCTCGCATGGCACCCATACACAGCGCCCAGAAGCATGGCGTTTTGTCTGAAGTCCCTCGACCTTCCCGCCTTCTACTCTTGTTGTCCATCTGATCTGTGTTCCTGCTTGTCAATCTCAGTCTTTCATCTTTCTTTGGAATCCTGCATGCCAATCTTGTTATCATGCTTTCTGCTGAAGAAAATTAATCACGGGTGCCTGCACAAGGAGAAGATAATGTGGCGAACTCAGATGAGGATGGAGAACACCTGGCCACTGATCGTACAACTTAACCCCAGAACATACTGAAGAGTCTGAACTTCTCTGAAGACAATAAAGTGTAGTTCACTGTAGGAACGTTCTTGGAGCTCCGAGGCAATTCATTAGAGGAAAGAGTGTGCAGGGCAGTGAATATTGCTTTTAACTTGGGAGTACCTTTATCATTCTTGCGGTAGAGTTTTCCAGTGTGCAGAACAGTGAAGCGGTTGCTGGCCTGAACTTCTCTGAAGACAATAAAGTGTAGTTCACTGTAGGAACGTTCATGCAGCTCCGAGGCAATTCATCAGAGGAAAGAGTGTGCAGGGCAGAGCACAGTGAATATTGCTTTGCACTTGGGAGTACCTTCATCATTGTTGCAGTAGAATTTTCCAGTGTGCAGAACAGTGAAGTGGTTGCTGGTTGGGTGTGCTACAAACAGAAGCGGATCAATGGAACTGAGCAGATCTCAGGTCATTGTCCCACCCAAAACTCGCTCGAAGTGATTCCTGACATCATTACAGACTTGTCTTTCAGCATGTTTGACTATTTTTTTGGTGAAATGGGGCTAAGCAGTGTGCTGCAGACACACACATTCCACACATGGGACACTATGAATTCTTTCTACGGAGCCGAAAGAAATAAGCTAGACTGACTGACTTCTCTGCGATTCCCTAGAGACCATTAAAAAAACATGGAGAAGGGTCTTTGTGCAATTATTGGTTAATCGAGTTGTCTGGATATGTGCATGTGATGCAGTGAAATGGGCAAGTGCAGACATGCATGGCTGAGAGTTTTACCGGACGGAACTGAGGAGCATGTCCATGAAGAGAGTAAGTTGTGATTTTCTGCAGTTATGGTTCTGCTTCTTTGTTGTTGTATGCTGTAGCGATGAAATGTTCTGTTTCTTTTTTTCAATGTCGGATTTTTGAACTTTTAGATCATTGTAGTAAGCTTGAGGCCGCGGTCCTCATGAAAGGATTTCACGCTGACAGTCCTGAGTCCCAGTCCTAGAGTGCCAATTGGTCTTGGTCCCAGGTTGTCCCAGCAGGTCCTGTTCTAGGGTCCATAGGTCAAAGTGTCGTAGGTCCGTAGAAGTAGGGTACCGAAAATTTGCGGGCCGGTTATTGTCTGGTACTGGCAGAGGAAGTCACTACATATATAACTATCGCTAATTTCCTGCCTGTGACAAGCAGACGATCGGGGCCCTTCAATTTTTTGCTGCACGACGGTTCCGATCGTCTGCTGATCGTTTTTTCTTAGAAGTTGAAGCGTCGTCAGGGCCAGTACGGGTTCCACATGCCCGTGCCGGCACCACGCTTGGTACTGGGCCCGCGCACCGGAGCTGGTACCACCACACAAGGTACTGGGCCCCCGCGCTCGCACCGGTACTGTCGGGCGTTGCTGGGCCAGCGCCAAGCGGCCTCTAAGAAACTTTTTCCGATTTTGGAAGGCGGTGCGGGAAAAACCGCGTGGCCCCGCACAACACCTAACCTCCAATCGACTTTCGACTTTTCATACCCAAGGCTAGAGCGCTTGACGGACTGATTTCTACGCTGCTATGGTCAACTACGACTTCGCTCTACGTTGGACACATCGAGCCTCTGTTCGATGAATGTGTTCGAGTTCTTAGAGGAGCTGGAGTGGTCTAGATCAGACCTGCTAGCTTCTTGGACGGCATTGGTTAGAGCCCCTAAGGGCGAGATGTTCGTCGGCGAGGTTGTCATCGGCGACCGCAAGGCCGGGGCCTATTATGACACTTGCTCGGCACAAAACTTTATCAGTCGCGTGTGCGTTGAGAGGCTGCACTTATAGGGGCAAGTGCAGCACCTGCGTAAGCCGGAGAGGAACTGAGACATCACGTCTCGTTCCTAGTCAGCGATGATCTCCCAACGGACATCCTGTTGGGTATGTACTATCTTTCGGTTGCACAGCCCCAGTTTCCGGCCGAGTGTCTCCCCTTACGGATCTCAAGTCTTATTTGTACTGAAGAAGGTGGGATCTTTGAGCATGTGCATTGACTATAGGGGCCTCAATGCCATCACTGTCAAGAACCGAGAGCCCCTACCGCACATCGATAATTTGCTGGACCAAGTGCAAGGGTGCCGATACTTCAGTTAGATAGATCTGAAGTCCGGGTGCCATCAGATTGCAATACGGCCTGAGGATCAACACAAAATTGCTTTTCAGACCAGGTACGGTCTGTACGAGTTTGTGGTCAATGCTCCTGGCACCTTTCAGCACGCAATGAACAGGATCTTTCATGACCACCTGGACAAGTTTGTCATCGTGTACCTCGATGACGTAGGACTGTCGAGAAGCATGTTGGCCGTTTAGACATAGTCCGGTGTCTCCTTCGACAACACAAGTTCAAGATTAACGGCGAGAAGTGTGAGTTTGGCCGCGTCCGTATCTTGTACTTGGGTCATAAGATTTCCGCAGAGGGATTGAAGCCCGATGACGCGAAGGTGGCCAGCATTCCTGACTGCCCGCATCCTCAGTCTGTGATTGAGATGAGGTCCTCCTAAGGGATGACCGGCTACTATCGCAACTTCGTGAAGAACTATAGCATAGTGGCCGCCCCTTTGACGGACTTGACCCGCCTTGACACCCCATGGGAGTGGACAGACAGGTGTGAGGCTGCTTTCAGACATCTGAAGCATGCTCTGACACGCTGAGGTCTTGAAACTTCTTGAAACTTCTAACAAGCCGTTTATAGTCACCACGGATGCTAGCCAATAGGGCATAGGCGCCGTGCCTGCGCAGCAGGAGGGGCCAAAGTTGAGGCTTGTCGAGTACATGTCCAAAAAGATGCCCTCTCAGAAGTTTGCTAAGTCCACCTATGAGAAGGAGGTCTATGCGATCTATGAAGCTCTAACCCATTGGAGGCATTACCTCCTTGGGAGGTTTTTCGGCGTCAGGACTGATCATCAGACCCTGAAGTGTATGAGAACCCAGCCTGTCCTCTCTGATGCGCTGAAACGCTGGATCAAAGTCATTGAGCAGTATGACTTCGAGCCCCGGTATATCAAAGGTGAGTACAACAAAGTTGCTGATGTGCTGTCGCGTAGGCCAGACTTTTCCGGTGCGCTGATCACTCAGTTTGGGCTTGCGGACGATGTTACTCGTTCTTTGGTGGAAGCCTATCGCGAGGATCCGTTTATGGCCGAGATCATACACAGACTCGAGGCGAAGGACAAAGTAACTTCTGCCGAGTTTGAGTTGGTCAATGGCCTGCTGTTCCTTGAGAAGGCCGGGAATAAATGTTTGTGTGCCTAATCGGGAGTCATTGCGTAGTTTTTTTTAAGGAGAGTGTCATGATGCTACAAGACATTTTGCGCACAAGAAGACTGCAGCCAATCTGCTGCAGCAGTGCTGGTGGCCCACGATTATGAGAGATGCCAAGCTGTACATAGAGACTTGTCAAGTATGTTAGAGGGACAAGCCACGTACACAGGCCCCTCTTGGGCTTCTTAAGCCCCTTCTGATTCCAGAAAGGCCTGATGAGAGCCTGTCCATGGACTGCATGATCACGCTGGTGGATAGGTTTAGTAAATATGCTAGATTAGTGGCAATGCCTGAAACAGCGAAAACGGAGTATGTGATTAGACTCTTCAAGGAGAACTTGGTCAGGGACTTTGGGCTTCCTAAGTCTATTGTTAGTGACAGGGATGTCAGATTCACAAGTGAGTTGTGGAAGGCTGCAGCTGCAGATGACCTCCAGAAACCACCCAGAGGCAAACGGCCAAGCAGAGAAGCTGAACTGCGCTGTACAACACCTGTTGCGGCATTACATGAAGCCCAATCAGGTGGACTGGGATGAGAAACTTCCTCTCATCGCCAGCCTGTACAACAATGCTGTGCACATCGCCACTGGGGTGAGCCCTAACAGTCTGCTACTGACTTTCAAGCCTAGACTACCACTGGATTTCCTATTACCTGAGAACCAGCCAACCGCTGCACCTGGCACACTAGAGTTCGCCTATCGATATGGACAACTAATGCAGCAGGCAGTGGAACAGATGCACAAAGGCACAGGCCGCGATGATAGAGTCTGAGAATAAGCACCACCGTCCATCTACATTCCAGGTAGGGGACAGAGTCTGGGTTAAGTCCTCAAAACAGGGTCAGGAGCACGGGATCTCCCGCAAGCTCATGCCACAATACTTTGGACCCTGGCAGGTTCTAGATATCGTTGGGGATGATCTGGATGGGGCTTCATATGTAGTTCAGATCCCTGGTCACCTTCGCACTTACCCAGTCTTTCACGCCTCCAAGCTCGCACCTTTCAAGGAGACTGACCAGTTTCCTTCTCGTCGCTCCCAACCATGGATGGAGAGGTCGGCATCGATGATATTGTGGATCACAAGGAAATGCCAGGTCTAAGACCTACAGGCAGGGGACGTCCTCTGAAACCGAAGCTGCCGTACCGCGTTCGGTTCAGACATCACACTGATTCTAAGAAGGATAGATGGTTTACACGGGAGGAACTGATGCAGACCGCTCCACAGGTTGTCGCCCACTACGAGAAGTTGCTGCAGAAAGGAAAGCGCCAGATTGATTGAACTTCTCAGAGGACTAGCGAAGTATGGAGGAGGGAATGCGAGGCTCAAGGCCTCGATACGCCCTACTGGGCCCTATTTTCTGTACAGTCGGCCGCCCTAAGTGAAGGCAGGCTCGACTAAGGCCTACAGGCCCATTTTGGGGTCACCACGCAACTGGGGAAATTCAGGCAGTTGTGCAACGCCAGTTGGTTGAGATCGCCCAGGCCCAGGCTGCCTCTTTTTAATTTAACTGAGGTAGGCCTTGGGCCAGATTCGTTACATGGACCTTACACAGGCCGCGGGCAGTTGGACGGGGGTCAACCACCACAGGCCCAGGGCCTGATTCGTTTGGACCAGGGCTCAGCCTCTCGGGGCCTACCGGAAGCTTCTGGGCAGGGGCCCAGCGCAGCCAGGCTTCACGCAGCAGGCAGGCCACTTCCATTTAGGAAAGTGCCTGCCCACGCATTCAGCATTCGAGCACTGGCTGCATGCTGTGCAAGTGCTGCTGCGCTATACGCTGGCCAGCGCTCACGCGCTCACGGGTGAGCTGGAAGGAGCAGGCAGCCATAGCCGAGCTGCACTGCTGTATGCTGGATGGGGCGCATGGTGGTCCTGGGGTGCACGTGGCATCTGTGAGTGGGGGATCGAGGTTGTGAGTGATACGAGAGACATACCTGGTGCTTGAGGCGAACGGCATTGGCCGAGATCTGCTCGTACTTTGGGGAGCTGTTGACATCACCAGTGGCATTGTAGATAGGCTAGATAGGATCTGCCATTTGTATTCTGGGCGCAGAGCACCAGATAGGATGTGGACATTGGTTCTTTGTTGATGATGATGAGACTATTCCAACATTGTCACTTGTGAGTTTGTGCTGTGCTCTTATTTGGTGGAACTCGTGTTGCAATTCTGCTTTTGGTTCGAGGTCACGACTATCCGGTCACATGTGTATGATGCTGGTCGGTTTCTGACGTTCGCTACCGCTCATTTTCCTTGCACAAGAAAATCCGGAGACTTCTGGAATGCGAAACTATGCAGCAGAGGTCGCAGGCGACTGGTACCGGTTCAAAGCAGCAAAGCAAGTCAACTGCAACTATTAATAGCTGCTGCAGTGCCAAGACTAACAGATTGATTCTTCGCAAAGTTGCAAAAGGGCTGCTGGTTGCTTAGTGCGACCACCTTCCTGACCCCCTGCGCCCACCTTTCCTGTCTTATGCGCCCACTCACTGCCCCCACCTAAGCTACGGCGGCAACAACGACCAAGATGGCCAAAGAGTGTTCCATTGGATATGGGAACCGGATGGAACTTCCAAGAACCAATCTGCTCTGTGTGTGTGTGTGTGTGTGTGTGTGAGAGAGAGAGAGAGAGAGAGAGAGAGAGACTATGACGATGACAACGACTTCAACATGCGCAACCCCGTACCTATGACCCAAAAAGAAAAAGAAAAGGCTACACTGGACTTCGGTGCTGGATGGCTACGACGCTACTCTACACTACTGGACTTTGACTCTCTACACTCGATACTACTCTATGCTACTACACTCAACCCAACCCCCCCCCCCCCCCCTTCCCCTCTCACACACACACACAACCCTGGCTACACTCAGCCTCACACAGGCGCGCCCCACAGATTTGACCATCCTTTCCCCCTGCGCCCACCTTCCCTCCCCTCCGCGCCCACTTCCCCCCCCTCTGAACCCACCTTCGTCCCCCTCTGCGGCCACGTTCCCTACCCTCTGCGCCCTCCTTCCCTACTCTCTGCGGCCACCTTCCGTCCCCTTCCCGGACACCTTTCCTTGCTTCTGCACCCACCCACTCCGCCCACCTAAGCTACAAGTAGAGAGAGAGAGAGAGAGAGAGAGAGAAGCTATGACGACCCCGCCCGTACGACTCCCCCCTTAAAAAAAGCTACACTCAACCTCGGCTCTGGATGGCTACGACGCTATTCTATGCCACTGGACTTCGACTCTCTAGGATCAATGCTACTCTACGCTACTACACTCAACTTTGCTATACTCTCTCTCTCTCTCTCTCAAGCTACAAGAGCTCTCTCTTTCTCAGCTGAGAGAGAGAGAGAGAGAGAGAGAGAGAGAGAGAGAGAGAGAGAGAGAGAGAGAGAGAGACAGACAGACAGACAGACAGACAGACAGACAGACAGAGAGACAAAAAGACAATGCCGGGGTTCAAATGCATTATGGAACCCCGACAGTCGTTCCAGAATGCATTTGAACTCCGACAGTCGTTCCACAATGCATTTGAACCCCGACAGTCGTTCCACAATGCATTTGAAGTGTGGGTTGTTAGGATCTCCTGTCCAGAGGAATGCTGCTGTGTTTTTCCTGATCTGACTTTGAAAATTGGCTGAGGGGAACCATATGGAGGTAGCAAACCACATCATGGCTAGTTCAGGGCTAGAACTTTACCTAGCAATGAAGTGGTGAACAGCATTTAAAGTCCTGCGCAGACTGTCGGGGTTCAAATGCATTGTGGAACGACTGTCGGGGTTCAACCTCCTGATGAGTCGGTGAAAGCCCGACGAAACAGTCTGGCATAGCCATCCTTTTTTCTCCTTTTGTGGATATAGCGAACATGACAAGACATGCACACGGGTGCGCAAACATGTGCATGTACAACATAAAGCCCAACTGCAGATAGGGTCAGATCCAGGCTCAGATCTAGGGATGGTATCCTCATACTGCTCATACACAGCTGTGATTTCCAGCAGGCATTCAAAGCGGTGCTGCCTTAAGAAATCTGCCCATTTGAGAGTCACTAATAGTGTCTGGGCTATAATCTTCCCAGGGTAGTATGATACTCGTTACTGTTCTATGCTACCTTCTTCCCCCAAATCACAGGCGATGTTTATGTCACATGCAGCCATAAGGCTCGTGTGTTGTATTAGCGAGAACCGGGAGAAGACAGTAGACTTGGAAACCTGTGGTTCAGTGGGGCAGAGTCGGCAGACCATGTTCACACAAATTATGGAATTATTCACGCAGTAGATTGACTGTTGGTGGGTTTGCTTTGCTTGCATGGTGAATGTTGGTGTGATATATTCTTGTTGTGTGTATTTTTCAAGAGCTTCAGGCTGTGCTTGGAACATGACTGGATGTTTTCTGAATAGTCAGTTGTAAAAGAACTCTGCAGTGTGAATATGGTTGTATGTGAGATCTCTGTTTGTGGGTTTTCTGGAGCATCCATCCATTCATCTATCCCACCCGTACACCCAATCCAGTTACCCAGCCATGTAAACATCAGCATACCCATGAACTTCAGTAGACAGCTCAGCATGAGGCATCAGGGCTTTGTAATTCCATGTGAATGTGTGTGGTATTTCTTGTGTGTATCATACAGCTCAGGAAGAGATGCACAGGGGTGAGTAATCGCATGTGAACTTGTGTGGTATTTCCTGTGTGGATTGGTGCAGATTCGGTGTTATTGACATCATCGGACATAGGATGTCGGCTACGGATATGCTATACGCCTGTGAGGTCTGATGGGGTGGTCGGCGAGCCTGTCAGCCTTATATCAAATGTCATCGTGGAAGGTACGAAACGTGCAACCCGACCGTTATTACGATGGTGGCGCCGCTGAGGGGGTGAACACACAACACACATTTGTAGGGGGGCGGGCGGGCGGGCAGGACACTGAAGAACAAGATGCTGGAATCTATTGAAAATGATGACTAGGATTGGTGTCTTCAAGGTGTTGTTGATCTACACGGGTAAATTGAAACGATCACTTAAGGTCATTTCGATTTCTACGAGTTTTTAAATTGAAGACAGAAGCTTATTGAATCTTTGCTAGTGTACCATTTAAATGACGGCTAAAGGTGGCTATTGCCGTTGTAAAATGGTAGCTTAAGCTGATGTCGAACTCCTCTAGTTGTTAAAACAATGGCCATCGCAGGCAGATGGCCAGTATTGATGCTTGTTGTGAACATCGCAAATGGCAACCTCTGATCGCAATTAGGTCAGGGGGTACATGGTCGTGGACGTTCTAGTGCTCATAACACGCCGCCTAGTGTGCATGCCGACCATGAAAATGTAAACGGAGAGATGTGGAGGGTGGTTGATGGTTGGTGGAGGATGGTTGATTGTTGATGTGTTCAACGAGTGATTAAGTAGGCTGTCACTGGTGCGGACTGGGGACAGCCATAAAAGTGCATCAATATTAAGGTTGGGTTTTGTTGAGAGGGTTAATTGAACGGGCTTTTTGTTGGTTCATTGCACTGACTGTAGATGGCGACAACTGTAGAAGCACAGTATGAATAAGGCTCGCTAAGCGAATCCAGTTGGGCGAGCCACCCGGGATATTATTATGATCTGTGTCTTTCTGTTGCAAACTCTTTCTAATGGCAGCATCGAGTTCTTTGACAGTCCTACATCTTGCTTTTCATCGGTCTGAACTTGGAAGGAGTTTCCTTTAATGAGCTGCTCTCTGTGTACAGTAGTAGGTGCGTGTAAATAAGAGGGCAAAAACTAGATTCTTGATTTATCATTGAGATAAGGGATAGTGGTTTAAGCGCGAAGAATATGAGGATTGGCGGGGGCCATGAGTGAGGCCTGGGCCCCTGGGATCGGCCCAGGAAAAGGATAGGGTAAGCCTGACCTGCAGAACAGGGGCTGTATTTCTAAAGCAGTAGTAATGGTCAAGAGTATGAATCCTCATGCACAATGTGCAAATGTGATTTGTCAGAGAACAGGGATGGAGCTGGAGATGCGTGCGGTAACTGCGGTTCAGATTCACCGGGGAAATTTCCGTGTAATTGTCCAATAATGGCAATAATTTATAAATAAATTGTTCCTGAGTGTGCCTGCTTGGTTCATTCAGTTGGGTAGATAGAGTCATGGCCTGTGGAGCAGAACACCTTGTAGGATTTGCAAGAGTTTGTAGGCTGCTATACAAGGATGATAGGAAAGACAAAGGTGACAGTGAGTTATTGGCTGTTCCGGATGGAACAGAAGGATTTCTCTATGGTCTCGTCTTCCTCAAGACCTAGACTTTGGATTGTTGCTTGGCCATTCTAGGGCTCTCAATAAATTATGGAGTGTTCATTCCAGGCTTAAGAGTGGTCAGGCCTAACGTTGTCCATTCAGGGTTTCTGATGAATTAATCGTTAGCAGTGGTCTTGTATTCTCAACCAATGTTCCAGTCCTTCCCTTTTTTCTTTCGACTGTTCCTCTCCTCCCCGTCTCCTCACTCCCATCTTCACTCTCTCGGGGTATACTCACGCTAGGACTTTTCCGACTTATCTCTATGCATATTTGCAGTCAGATACATCCAGGACCGTCTCTAATCCGGTCAGATATATCCAGGACCGCCGGAATTGCAGTCAGATATACTCAGGAATGTCCTAGTGTGAGTGTGCTGTTTCCCTCACTCCACTTCTTTGCTCCCCCACGGTGGCACCGCCACCCTCCCCCATCCTCATTTTCTCACTTGCTCGCTTCCTCAGTCTACCAGCTTTGTGTGCCTAACCTTTCATTCCCTCCTGTCCCACTCATTCACATCCCTTTGCTCTCTGCCTGCTTTGAGCTCCAGTTTTCATTACAGGCGGCCTCGCTCCGCTATGTCACGAAATGCAAAATGAGATGTGCAAAATGAGAATGAAACTTTCGCAGAAAATGGGAAGATACACCACCATATTTTTTGTCTTCTGTGCATGTGGAGAGTAGTGGAGCGACGCCTATGGAATAGCTTCCACAGCCCTGACTCTTTCTGTCCAAGGGCTGTGGTGTTATGTCAAAGCTTATGTTTAACAGAAATTGTCTATCAACTTCTGAGAAAAATCAATTTATCTTTGCTGTGGCAAAGTTTTGTTTGGCATGTTGTTGTTGAGCAAATGTGGTTGATGCAAATGCCTACCGTCGGAACCCGAACAGAATATACGGTAATTATGCCTGCACATTTGGGCCATCTTCAGTCTAGATGCAGTGATAATGACCGTATGTCCTATTTGGGTGAAGACGGTAATGCAGATGATGTGGATCGAAAGTGAAGGGAAACACACAGATAGCAAAACATGGTTAAGCTGGAGGAGTTCCTCATTATAGACAGAGGGGTGCGCTGTGCTGTTGGGTGATTGGGGGGGGGGAGGGGGGAAGGGATACGGGTTGCGGGGATTGTGCGATCAAGAATATAACCCTTGCAAAGGTACAGTCCCCAGCGATGGCAAGTGGGTTTGTCTGAAGCGATGAAAGTCTCGAAGCATGTTGAAGTTTTGCCGATGCATCTCCTCTATTTATTGGGGTTGGTTGCATGCCATGGGTTGGGGGACCCAGTGAAGAAGAAATGGTCAAGAGAATCAGCAGGCATAGAGTGAAGGTGGTGAATGTGTCGGAAAGCAGAAGTCACTGAATCATCTTCTGGGGAGAGATGACTATGACATGAGACGTCCCAAAATGAAGATATGCAGAACGCACATCGCTTAGCTATTTGGATCTATCAGGGTGGTCCCATCTTGATCCTTTTTGGTCCGCTCTGTTTGTAGGTTGCTGTATTGCGATGATTCATGGCTGAAAAATGTTTGGTTTGGGATGTCAATCATGTGATGTTGTCATTGTGTTCTTGTTGGGAAGAGCTCTTGTTGATTGAGGTCAATTGAGCTCCAAAATATGGATTTCAATGTCAATGTGAAAATAGATCTATTCCTGATGTCAAGCCCTGAAAGGTGTTGATGCCTCAGAAAGTAATTAACTGCTCAACGAAATGACTATAGTAGTATGGTGTTATCAGACTGAATGACCTTAAATTGTGAGCCAGGCAGGAAATAATGTCTATTGTTCAGAGCTAACATCTCTGACTGGCCTGGATGCAGCTATGAAGGCCTTAGGTGGTTCTTTTGGTGATGAAGCTTTTGGTCAAGTTGGTAACTGAGGAGTATTGAGTTGAATTCATTTGTTAGAGGCCTGATGGATGTGGGGGTTGGGAGGGAGGGTGGAGGGGATGTTTCTCCATGAGCAATTCACTTTGTCTCATCATAGACCAATCACTTTTGCTTGGCTTGAATGCAGCTCTCATGACTCTACCTTCTTCCTTTTGTGCTGAAGCTTTAGGTATCATTAGTCACTGTTGTTCTAACAAATCCGTGATGAGAAATGAATCTTCAGTACATGCATATTTGATGCCCTGATAATTGAAATGTCTGGGGCAGGGCGAGAGGGAGGGGGGCATTAATAGCGAGGGGGGGGGAAGTGGGCGCTATTGTCGATGGATGGCTGACACTATCCATCAGGGTCTAATCTTCAAGACATTTGTAGGCTTCGATGGGGAGGCGGACAATGGGGGGGGGGGGGGGGGGGGGGGGGGGGGGGGGGGGGGGGGGGGGGGGGGACCCAATAGCTACCTTAACAATATCTTTACAAGTGTTTGAACAGGCCGACCTCTGATGTTTGGCCTGGGGCAGGGCGAGAGGGAGGGGGGCATTAATAGTGAGAGGGGGGTAAGGGGGCGCTATTGTTGATGGATGGCTGACACTATCCATCAGGGTCCAATCTTCAAGACATTTGTAGGCTTTGATGGGGAGGCGGTGACCCAATAGCTACCTTAATGATATGTTTACAAGTGTTTGGACAGGCCGACCTCTGATGTTTGGAAACCGGCCAGTTGGAGGCCCATCAGGGGGTAGAGGCAGTGGGGGGTAGCAAAACCTACAAATTCATTAAGGGGTGGGCGGGGGAGGAGTTGGGGTGTCTGGACTGACTGTTTTTATTATATTTTCCATACAGATATCTGGACAAGTGTTCAGATGGTCCGGCCTCTGATGTCTGGAAATGGGTCCGTTGGAGGCCCATCAGAGGGGGCAAGGGGGCGCAAAACTTACAAATTCTTAAAAGAAGGGGGAGGCCTGGACAAACAGTCGAGGGCCGTCCCTCAACATTGCCACTTTCTATTTTGGGACTGGGACCAGCCACGCAGACCAGCTGGACCGTGTTTAGGAAAAGGCAGCCTGGCAAAGTGACCTGCCGTTTTCCCCTACTGGAATTTTTCCGCCCACCAGTTTCCCCCTTTCTGAATCCCCCCCTGCTCCCCCCCACCCCCTAGTTTCACCCACTTAGACCCGCTCTCCCCCGCTTCAGACCTCCTAGCTTCTCTACCACCACAGAAATCCCTCTTCCCAACTCTGAATCCTCTCCTCCCACACCGAACCTCTTTCGCCCCCTGCCAACCTCTCCCCCACCCCACATCAAACCACCTAGCTTCTCCTCACTACCACTTGAATACTTCTCCCAAACTCTGAACCTCTGTCCCCCCGCACCGAACCCCTCTCCCCCCAACTCCGAACCTTGAGCCCCCTGAAAAGAAAAGAAATAATTATACTAATAGCGAACAAACTTAAAAGACCCATATAAGAAAGGAAGAAGATTTGTAACTGTACATATCTGGACAGTGTGATGTACACATATGTGGACATATGTGGATGTTCAGACAGTCCGACTATGTCAAGATGAAATCCGAACTGTCCGGATTGGCCTGGTGTTTAGGCCCTCGGTAGCCATGCGATTTATTGAACACCTATTGCTGTGCTAAGTGCCAAAAAGCAGACTTGCTTATGGGAGTTAGCAGCTTCTTTGGGGGTGGGGGGGGGAGGGGGGGGGGAAGAGAGAGAGAGAGAGAGAGAGAGAGAGAGAGAGAGAGAGAGAGAGGTCAGGCATTTGTATTCTGTTTCTTTTGCCCTTCTGTTGTTGCTTCTCCATGGCCCCCCTGCCCCCGCCCCCGGCCCCCCCCCACCCTCCACCTCCGAAGATCTTCACCTCCGAAGATCTCCACCTCTTTGCTCTCCTTCTCCTCTTTGTTCTCTCTTTGAGCACTGGATGGGCTAGGGTGGCCGGAAGGTTGACCAACCCCAAGGAAACTCCAAGTACTTGCAACTGAGCATTGCGCAGACAGACTTTGGGTGCTAAGATCCAAAGTCAAAAGGGGAACAGCCCAGATTGTATGCTTTTTTTTTATATAATAAAAGCCCAGGGTGTTGTAGAGGCCGGTTACTAGGCACACATTGATCGCCAGGAGCGGTCAGCCATGGTCGTCCTGAGAGAACGAGGCTACCTTCCCATTCCATCCTCACGTCAATACTCCTCGCGCACCCCCTATCTCTACTATCCTACCTCAGTGTGACCAGCACTCAGGACCATTACCCCTACTTGGTAAAGAGGGGAACTTGGACCGAACAGTAGTGACAGTCACCAGGGCTAGCCATGACCCAGCCCTGGTGGAAGCGGAATCGAACGAGCCTCGTCGCACGGGAACTTTGGATGCCAGGCCCAAGCAATCTCCTACTAGCCCCTAAGTTGACCAAACTGGTAACTCACACCCTCTACTCACCCACCACAGTCCTAGATGATTTTAATTGCGGGGTGCTTATCCTCGTAACGCCTATCATCATTATCAGTTAATCCAGACCAACCAGTGACTCACGCCCTCTACTTCCCCACCACAGCCCTAGTCTGCCACACACAGTCTAGCTGACATTAAGGGGGGTACTTATCATCGAGACGCCTATCATCATCATTAGTTGATCCAGACCAACCAGCGACTCATGCCCTCTACTCACCCACCACAGACCTAGCTGATATTAAGGGGGATACTTATCATCGGACGCCTATCATTATTATCAGTTGATCGGGACCTCCTCCCAGCCCTATGGTTGTGTATGTGTGTATGTACTCTGTATCTTAGATGTGTGCCCGTGGGCTATGTGTGTGTTCGTAATGTGTATGTGGACCCAATTTCATAGCAGATGCTGCTTCCCACCATGGAGCATCTGCGAGGTGAGTACTGAGTACTGGTGAGAGGTGCTCTTATCACCTCCACTAGTACATGTGTGTGTGTACCTTGAGCTGTGTGTGTGTGTATAGTATGTGTGTATGGTATGTGATAGACTATGTATTGTGGTTGTGCTATCTGGGGTGGTATCTCTGCGTGTGGGTGT